ATGTATAAGTGGCAGAAATTTTAAAAGAGAACTGTAATTAGCATATACTGACACTAACGTACGTGTTGTTTATTAAATCAGATATATACTCTTCATTTCTGATGAGATTCAATGAACCTTTCCCCAATACTCTTTTCTGGATCCTTCCCAAGTTGCGTAGCAGTGTCGCACCAACCGAGCCATTCTGCGTTATAGATTCGTATGTATTAGAAAAGCACCCGTTCCGTTTTATCCGGATGTTTTTCTTTAGATTATATTTCCTACGCTGCTTAGAGGTTGGTGCAGCATATTCCAGTCGACGAAAATTCCCGTCTTGTCTCATTAACATTCTTCACGTCACCTCCATCATCAATACCTTCTTCCCTTCTCCATCTTATTCTCTGACAAAGCTCAGTTTTACATTAGACAAGACATTCTTTCCAAAAACTGTACTTTCCAATCACATTCCCTCTCTAATCCTAACTTATCAACCTTCATGTCATCCGCCACATCGGTGCACTATCATAACCCGAAACTGGTACGCGTCACAAACTGTATATGTTTCGACGAAACTCTTCTTCCAATACGTCCGTCTTCTCGTTATGTTTCTACATCTCCGGTGCATTATCATACTAGCCGAGCTATTATGAGCCAGCAAATTGTCTGACTTTCCCCTTTATCGACACAACCCAACACCCGTCTCAACTCTAGGCTACATAGTTCTCATTCATGCCGTAACCGTATTTATTACAATTGGTGTCTAGCCACGAAATTATTCACCATTGTCCTCCCTCTTTAATGGTCCCTCTACCATTATCACCACCTCGATCATCCTTTATCACGAATTAAATAACCGTATGAACTAAATGATTATGATCATCGTTAGTAATATACTAAGTTCTATTTTTTTTTCTATTTATTAGCCTTGGTACAGAATTACGTTAATATTATCACCCCTAATTGCAGTGCGCGATTCATACCGTAAGATGCTAGTACGCAAGAATACGTCGCTATTGACCTGACAATAGGACATTCAACTTTAGATAAAGCCAAAGGCTCTGTTATCGTAACATATTAGTTACATACAGTTAGCAAGAATTGAGGCATTTTAAAGATCTACGCGGCATTTATGCATTGTATAGCAGGTTAAAATTATAAGTTATAACGATAACGCATTTTATTACATATTAATATGATATTAATATAGCATTTTTACATAGATAACATTGTATCGCACTTTAACTTCTATAAAATTAATAAATATATACATTGTTGTCACATTAGACTAATAGTCGATAGTAAACTCAGCAAACATCTCATTATATTTTGACTTACTTGAGCTTATAATTTTACATTGGACACACAAACACTCATTCTTCTCCCCACGACCTGCGAACTATATCAAATGTTGGAAAATAAAAAGTAAGTGACATTAATATACATACATATATATAATTAAATGTATTCATGTAGCATACCGATGCAGATTGTGAAGAGCCATAAAAAAAACGAACGTGCCATTATGGCACGGAATACGAGGGGTCCATCGAATGGTCGTATCGAAGAGCGGACGAAAAGGCGAGAAGATTTACTGTTGTTTGACCAGACGATGGACGATTTTTTGACGATGCAAATAGATGCCTGCTTTATAAGAAACCCAACGTATACTCATGCTAATAAGTATGTCAGATTATGTAACTCATATTCTATCGGAAATTAGACACAATGTTTAAGATGTCAGACTACATAAGCCATTGTTATGTTTCCAACAGTTACTGCTATGCAGTCTGGTCCTTTGTTCTTGGAGATGTGTTGAATGGAGTACTCATTCGTGTTAGCAATGTATAGGTTATCAGTCGCATCTTAAAAGTTTTTGGTAACACGATACAAGCTTCCTCTGCTAGCATTTCAGAGATGAATGCGTATCAACTAATGATTGAAACACTGATCATGTTATCTCTTGCACAGACTTTGCTCAATGGAGTTTTACTTTTTCGTTCATTTATTTACTTTTCACAAGCAACTACGTTATATCAACTATAAAGTTCGCTACGGATAAATTTTGAAGCAAGGTGGCGGGCGTTCTTTTTCACGAACAATTGCGTTATAACAAGTTCTCTGCCGATAGATTTTGTAGATTATAAAGCAGGATGGCGTTTTCTTTGCGTCTATTCATTACGTTTTCGCAAGCGATTACGTTTTCACAAGCGATTACGTTATCAAGTTCTAAATAGGAATTGACAAAAGTCATTTGAAACGAGAATCACGC